TCCACCTCATGTATATTTTTATTTAGTTTATCAAAAAGATTTTTTATTTATACTCAGCAGGAAAAGGAAGGGTATAGAGTTAACCTTTAAAAAATTAGTATAGTAGAAAAATGTTTATTTAAATTATTATGTTTATTGCTAAGATTTACATAATGATATACCACCTGTTCATTATTATTTATTTATTGAAGAAGATTGTAATGGTTAAAAACGTTACTGTAACCGTTAAAATATTTGGCACACACTCAACAGAGGAATGAATATAAGACCGTTAAAGTCATACTACCCAATAATTTAACAGAACAGTACAGTTAGACTAGGCCTACATTTAAATGAATTGTCATATGAAAACTCACGAATATGACAACAATAGAAAAAAAATATAAATTTAAATAAGAAAAAATTCGTGGTAATTCTCTATATAACGTCCGCATAGCCGATATCGAAGATTTTGGTATCGTTGGATTCCTCTCACTGTCCACATTGCAAATATATAGTTTTTATTGCGTGGAAACCCCCCGTTAGCGACAAACTTGGCACCGATAGCAGGGGAGGGCATGGAAGGTTCCAGGGGTTAAATAGCACTAATAATATAACGCTCAGTGAAAATAACCATGGTTATTCACATAACTTTTCATTGCAGGGGGCTTTGTCCCCTGCGACCCCCCTGGGGGGGGGGGGCTGCACCCCCCAACCCCCGCCGAGGAAAACAAAAACCACACGTATTCCTGGCAGGCTAGAGTGTTACACAATCGTCGTCGATGTCGGAGCGGCGGGCATAATATTACAATTACCTCGTAAGATTCCCACTGAATCAGCATATTAACCTTATTATAGTCAGCATTGTATATAGAGACGATTGTAGTATAATCAGGATGAACAGGGTGGCCCGCCCTCGTCGGCGGGTTTTGCGCCTTTTTCGATGTTACACCGATGGCCTCAAGGTCGATTTTCCCTTCCTCTGGAATAACGACATTCGTATTCCTAACCGAAATAACCGTCGCGTTCAGAAGTCAGTCATAGCCGCCGCGATGGCCGAGTGTGGAGGGTGCTCGTATTCGGAGACGGATTTTCTGCGCGAAATTGCACCTAGCAGGAAAAAATGCTAGAGATGTGCTTCCGCCACGGCCTCCTCCGTCGGGAGAAAGCTGTATCCTCCGGCCTAGAACCTCCTGCCGGACGCACCCTGCCTCCTTAACATTCTGCGGCAAAGGAGCACCCTCCCTACTAATTAGCGGCATTAATCAATCAGATTAGTACCTTAAAAATCCTAGGTTATTGTAGGTTATCGGCTCCGCATCTAGTTCATGTGCGCTCTATCCTGCCGTGAATACGTGGTGGAGGTTTTGTTTCCTCGACGAGGGTTGGGGGGGTTGCAATGGAAAATCATGTGAATAACCATGATTATTTTCACTGTGAGGTTATATTATTAGGGCAATTTTATATATTACGTCCGCCGTTCCGACATCGTCGCCCCTGCTATCGAGGCTAAGTTTGTCGCTAACGGGGGTTTCCGCGCAATAAAACCTACATATTTGCATTGTATAGAGAGAGAGGAATCCAACGATACCAAAATTGTCGATATCGGTTATGCGGACGTAATATAGAAAATTACCAAATTCGTTCCTTCCATATATGGGTGTGTGTGTGTGTGCACGGAGAGAGAATGCATATACTCACCAACGAAAATGTCTTCCAAGCTACCTCGATACCTTCCCGCGAAGATCTGCCAAACTTCATACCTGGTGTAAACTAACAGGACAACACCCCCCCCCCCCCCACCCACCCCGCTACCCTCCTCCTCATCCTAGGTTTCCAAGATACAGTCTCAGTCTACGCGCTGTGATTGGCTCTTCGCGCAATATTCCGAGCCGTCAACGAATCTGATTGGTCGCTGGGTTGCTCAATCGGCGATAAATAGGAAGCGCTTCTGTTGCAAGTTCTTCAGTTGTATTCAATGGCTCTGGTTGGTCACTCGTGTAATAGCTTACAATTTATCCTCTATAGAGAGATTGATAAGTCTTTCTTGATTATTTCTCACTTAAATGAAAGATTTATTTAGCTGTCTCTTCGAACGACACTCGCCATTGGACGACAATCAATTTCTTTTTGGATAGCGTCGGCTTTTCAAAAGAATATGAAATCTATCTTGTTAAGACACGTTGCTACATCTTGCGGACAAGGGAACCAGGAGCAACAAAACAACAACGGCGCGATAAAAAACAAATAAAAATAATAATAGTAATATAATAATAATAATTAATAAATGAACAAAATTCGGCGACGAGGATGATAACATACAGATATATGCAAACGTTAATACACTTAGATCGATTAATGGGTAGATAGGTAAATATGTAGACAGATAGATAGTAAATAGATAGGTAGATAAACCGACAGACAGAAAGTGATAGATATAGATATAGGTATAGACAGAGATAGATATTGTTCTTTACAAAACACATACACATATATATGCATGTATGCATGCATAGGTGCGTGTGTACATATACATATACACACATTGCACACTATGTATATATATATATATATATATATATATAATATATATATATATATGTGTAATGTACATAATATATACATATATATCGTTTTAGATTTATAAATATCGTCTTTAAATGTAAATATATCAATATAGATACGAACACACGTACAAATTTCCGTTTGTGGACACTATACATGCACAACCGCGTTCATGTATGCATATCACCAAGACTTCTACTATTAAGAATACAAATTAAGCGCAATTTTCTCGCATCATTGAAACAAATGCCTGGTAATTCCGCGACTTAAACAATAATAACTTTAGCAAGTATTAGTAGCAAAAAGGCAATTAACATTTGTTAAAAAAAAATGGTAATAAATAGAAGAAATGTGAAGGGAATATGATACATTTTTTTGTCTCGTTGTGTCTTAAGGAGGATGAGATGGGTCTTGGCAAGGGGATAATCGCCCTTATCTGTTCTTTGGATGCGGAACATTGTGTTGTGGAATCTCGTTTTCTCTCTCTCTCTCTCTATGTCTGTCTGTCTGTCTTGTCTCTCTTTCTCTCTCTCTCTTTCTCTCTCACTCTCTCTCCTCCTCTCTCCCTCTCCCCTCTCTCCCTCTCTCCCTCTCTCCCTCTCCCTCTCCCTCTCTTCCTTCATCTTCCTGCCCCCCCCCCCCTCTCTCTCTTCTCCTCTTCCTCTTGTTCTCCTCTCTCTATCCCTGTTTCCCCCCTCTCCTCTCCACTCTCCCTTGCACCCTTGTTGGTTTTAAGAGAGGAGAGTTAGAGAATTCACATGTTCTCAGGATATTAGGAAAGTTCAGACTGTAAAATGGTTTTCCTTGAAAGTTTGCAATTTTCTTTGAGGTTCTGGATAATTTCTTCTTTATTTTCTTTATTATATGTATAGGTATACATATGTATGTTGTATGTATATATATATACATATATGTGTTGTGTGGTATGTATGTACATTATATATATGTATGTACATATATATATATAGTATATATATATATATATATATATATATATATATATATGTGTGTGTGTTGTGTGTGTGTGTGTGTGTGTGTGTGTGTGTGTGTGTGTGTGTGTGTATGTACATATATATATATATATATATATATATATATATATATATATATATATATATGTATGTATGTATATATATAGATATACACACAAAAAAACACATGATGATGATGATGATGATGATAAGGATGATAATAATGATGAAGCTGATAATGATAATGATAAAATGATAACAATGATAATGACAAACAAACGAAATAAGTAACACCCTCTTCTTTACTTGTTGCATGATAGATAACAAGATAACAGTGTCCTCTTATGGTGACATGAAAAGAGTAATGAAAGTTTTTAATAGAGAAGAATAATTAAAGATAATACATAGATAAGAACTGCTAATTGTTTGACGATATCTATTCGGATATGGAAATGAAAAAGTCGATGGAAATAAAAGATAGTCCTCAGTAAATGCAAATAAGAAGGAAAAAAATGATAATGATAACATTAAATGCATGATAATATTGATGATGATAATTATGATAAGAAACCAAGAAACAGTTGATGGAAATAAATGATTTTAATCGAGTAACTACAAACAAAAAGAAAATGTAATAATGATAATAGAAAAGCACTAATAATAATGATAATAATTATGATAAGAAACCAAGAAACGAGACGATGATGAAAAAGAAAGAAAAAAGGAGAAGAAACTTATTCAAGGAAGATTCATTGAGTTCCCTGAAGTGTGTAATATTAAATTGAACTCTCATAGTATGCAATTTAGTAACGTGGTACGAATACGGTAAACACTAATTACATATATCTCTGATCTCCCTTGATATTGCTGATTAAGATAATACTTAAATCATCGTTGGATATTTACGTCTAATATAATCATTAAGTGTATTTATTGGCGAAATAAACAGAAGAGAGAGATAAGAAGATAAACAGAGAGAGAGAGAAAGAGAGAGTGTAAGTAACTTTCCTTAATTATGAGAGGCTATGAGACGCAGCCCCTCATTAGGTGGTTAGCGAAACGCAACAGTCGCTGCTATTTTCTTTAATGATAGATGTGCTGTAGATAGATGGTAGTTCGGTTGTCTGGGTAGCTGTGGCAGTGGTGAGAGGTTGGTGGGTCTTCTTCAGGAGGATGTTGAGGCCTGGGGGAGCCTGATGACCACCCCTTGGAGGTGTGAGTGAGGTCTCGACACGGCAGGATGAGAGGTCAGAGGTCATGGGAGAAAGAGCTTGGCCTGGCTCATGATTTGGTTGTGGACGGTGGTCATGACATTGGAAGAGGTCCCGTTTCTAGTTAGCCATAGCAGTAGGGAAGGATTAGCTGTCTTGCTTGTATTGAGGGCTTGGATGACCATGGAGAGAGAGAGAGAAAGATTGAGCGTGGCCTTGGATGACCATAGGCGTGTGTCAGAGAGAGAGAGAGAGAGAAAGAAGAGAGAGAGAGACAGAGAGAAAGAGAGACAGAGACAGAAAGAGGGAGGGAAAGACAGACAGACAAAGAGACCAGCATATGAAACACTACGAATAACTCAATACACCCCAAGCGCATCTCTGCAACCCATTCTCCCTGACTTCACAACCCTCCCACTCGATTCTCGGACCTCTTCCTTCCACGCCCTATCGAAAGCGTGACCCAAGGATGACCTCGACGGAAAGGATGACGAGGGAGGTCACCACCCCGAAGGCCAAAAGGAGAAAGGCCCCTTGAAGTTGGCCGATGCTCAGTGCTTGTGGCCCCGTTCTCTGTGGTGGAAAATTAAGGGGAGACTTAAAGGAGTGGTTGAGGGAGCATTTATTTATCAACCAACTTATCTGTCTGTCTAACAATTTGTTTATATATCTGCGTATATATAGATGTGTGTGTGTGCACATATGTACACCACACACACACACACACACACACACACACACACACACACACACACAACACACCACAACACACACACACACACACACACACACAATATATAATATATATATATATATATATATTATATAATATATATATATATATATATATATATATATATATATATATGTATATAATATATATATATATACATACATATATAAGTATTCTTATCCATATGGGCATCCATCTACCCATTCTTCTATCCTGAAGGCTACCTGTCCCGCCTCGAAGGCCGTGACGGACGCGAAGTGATTCCTGAAGAGCTTCTGCATGAGCCCCACCTCCCGGAGTCTCGTCAGGAACCGCGAGATCTGGGTGGTGTAGGCGGTGTTCTTGGGCAGGAACCAGGACGTGTGGCCCGGGTATACCTGAGGTGGAGAGGGTTGGCGTTGGGTAGGAGGAGGAGGAGAGAGAGGGAGGGAAAGAGAGATGGGATGGGATGGGGGATAGAAAGAGAGAGGGAAATAGTGAGAGGGGAGTGAGTGAGAGAGGGAGGGAGGGAGGATATATAAATTGTGTGTGTGTGTGTGTGTGTGTGTGTGTGTGTGTGTGTGTGTGTGTGTGTTGTGTGTGTGTGTGTGTGTGTGTGTGTGTGTGTGTGTGTGTGTGTATGTGTGTGTGTGTGTGTGTGTAGAGAGAGAGAGAGAGAGAATGCATAACAAACTGCATTTCTTCGAAAATATAAATGTTAGCTTCCGATGAAAACTGATTTTAATTTCTTAGTTTCATTGACTTTGATTTCATTTCATTGAGAACAACTTTGACTACAATTATTAGCTTGTGATAAAGAAATAGCAAATATTAACAATTATGTTGGTGTTAATAGATGTCTGTCGCCATACCAAAATTTTGTATCATAGTTGTAATATAGATTTATGATTATATATTTTTTAGATTAACACTGTTTACTAAGTATTGTACACTTAACAATGCATCAAGTTATTGTAGATCGATTTATGACCATAACTTTTAGATTAACACTGTCTATTAACTTTTCCTAGCATTTTACAGAACAAAATATCAGTTGATTGTATATATGTATGTATGATTTCTAAATAAACACTGCTTACTACCTTTTCTTAGTATTTTAGAATTAAGAAGTTATGAAGTTAATCTATGGGGAGGGATATATCTATTGCCTGGTGCCCCCCCCCCACACACACACATTTTTGTTGATTTTTTAGCTCATAAAATCACACTCATAATCATTAAATCTTTTATCTTGAAAAGTCCTTAGTCTGGGATAGAGAGAGAGACCGATTAGTTGTGGAGAGAGAGAGAGAGAGAGAGAGAGAGAGAGAGAGATGAAACGGAGGAGCAGAAGGAAGAAGAGAAAGAGGAGGAAGGGAAGAAAGAAGAAGAAGAGGGGAGGAGAGGAGGAAGAAAAGGGGAGAAAGAAGAAGATGAAAGAAGATGAGGTGAAGGAGAAGAGGGGGAAGAAGAAAAAGAATTAAAGAGGAAAAAAGAATAGGAAGGGAGAGAAAAGAAGAGGAGAACGAGGAGGAAGAAGAAAAACAGAAAAAATAGAAAACGAGGGGAAGTGGACAAGATAAAAGAAAAAAAGAAGAAAAAGAAGGAAGAGATTTTGGAAGTGGATACCGCCATCTTACCTTAACCCCCCTAACCTCCCTTTAACCCTCCCCTTCCCACCTTTCCCCCCCTATCCCCCTCTCCTCCTCCCCCTCACCTGCTCCTTCATCAGATACGTATCCTTCACGACCCCGTAACGGATCTGGACATTCATGAGGTACGAGTAGCTCTCGATGAGGACGTGGCTGCGCCTCATGACCCCCTCGATACCCGGGTCGTAGTCGAGGTCGTACTCAAACAGATCGAGTTTGTGGCCGATGGTGTAGAGGGACTCGTCCGACGACCGCTTCAGCTCCTCGGGGACGAATTCGCCATAGTCCTGCATCGAGACTCTAGGGCGAAACGAACAGAAGAGTTGGATGAGGAGAATGGCAATAGACATACACTTAAAACAAGTTCCAAACACGATTGAAACATGGATAAGGAGAATTTCAATATATATACACTTAAGACAAGTTCCAAACACGATTGAAACATGGATAAGGAGAATTTCAATATATACACTTAAAACAAGTTCCAAACACGATTGAACATGGATAAGGAGAATTTCAACACTCAAAACAAGTTCCAAACACGATTGAAACATGGATGAGGAGAATTTCAAACACTCAAAACAAGTTCCAAACACGATTGAAACATGGATAAGGAGAATGGCAATAGACATACACTTCAAACAAGTTCCAAACACGATTGAAATATGGATAAGGAGAATTTCAAACAAAACAAGTTCCAAACACGATTGAAACGTGGATAAGGAGAATTTCAATATATATACACAGAAAAAGTTCCAAACTCGATTGAAACATGGATAAGAAGTTCAAACAAAACAAGTTCCAAACACGACTGAAACATGGATAAGGAGAATTTCAATATATACACTTAAAACAAGTTCCAAACACGATTGAAACATGGATGAGGAGAATGTCAATAGACATACACTTAAAACAAGTTCCAAACACGATTGAAACATGGATAAGGAGAATGTCAACATATATACACTTAAAACAAGTTCCAAACACGATTGAAACTTGGATAAGGAGAATTTCAAACACAAAACAATTGAAACTTGGATAAGGAGAATTTCAAACACTTAGAACAGGTTCCAAACACGATTGAAACATAGATAAGGAGAATTTCAAACCCAAAACAAGTTCAAACACGACTGAAACGGATAAGGAGAATTTCAAACACTCAAAACAAGTTCCAAACACGATTGAAACAATGATAAGGAGAATTTCAAACGCTCAAAACAAGTTCCAGACACGATTGAAACATGGATAAGAATTTCAAACGCTCAAAACAAGTTCCAGACACGATTGAAACACGTCCCGTACCTGAGATCCGACTGAGCCAGCTGAGCCACGGTCTCGACCCGCACCGGATACACAGGCACGCTCAGGAAAGCAATAAGGTTGCCTGTGAAAGCAGTGCTGATGATGATGCAACCCAACCACCACCAGGCAAGACCCAAGCGCTCCCAAGCACGCGTCGGTAACAGACACACAGACTGCCGCATCATACCAGCGCATACCTGGGAGATGGAAGGAAGGTAGAAGGGGAAATTGTGATTATATTTTGGAAACGGATGAAGAAGAGAGGAAAGAAAGTAAAAAAAAAAATGTGTTTAGAAGCGTATACCTGGGAGATGGAAGGAAGATAGAAGGGGAAATTGTGATCATATTTGGGAGAAAAGAGAGGAGAGGAAAGAAAGTAAAAGTAAAAAAAAAAAAAATTAAAAAAAATTAAATCGCATACCTGGGAGATGGAAGGAAGGTAGAAGGGGAAATTGTGATCATATTTGGAAGAGGATGAAGAGGAGAAAAGAGAGGAGAGGAAAGAAAGTAAAAAAGAAAAATGTTTGAAATCGTATACCTGGGAGATGGAAGGAAGGTAGAAGGGGAAATTGCGATCATATTTGGAAGTGGATGAAGAGGAGAGGAAAGAAAGTAAAATAAAAATAAAATAAAAATTACCTGGGGAAATTGTGATTATATTTGGGAGAAAAGACAGGAGAGGAAAGAAAGTAAAAGAAAAAAATGTTTGAAAGCGTATACCTGGGAGATGGAAGGAAGGTAGAAGGGGAAATTGTGATTATATTTTGGAAACGGATGAAGAAGAGAGGAAAGAAAGTAAAAAAAAAAAATGTGTTTAGAAGCGTATACCTGGGAGATGGAAGGAAGGCATACCTAACAGGTAACACGGTAACAGGTAAGGTAAAAGGGACACAGACTGCCGCATCATACCAGCGCATACCTGGGAGATGGAAGGAAGGTAGAAGGAAAATTGCGATTATATTTGGAAGCGTATAAAGAGGATGGAAGAGAGAGAGAGGAAATGATGATATTTGAAAGCATATAAAGAGGACGAAAGAAAGAAAGAAAAACAGAAAAGAAAATTATATATATATTATATATATATATATATATATATATATATATATATATAATATATAATATATATATATATATATATATATATATATATATATATATATATATGTGTGTGTGTGTGTGTGTGTGTGTGTGTGTGTGTGTGTGTGTGTGTGTGTGTGTGTGTGTGTGTGTGCGTGTGTGTGTGTTTGAAAGTTCATAACTAGGAGAAAGCGCGAGAAAGGAACAGGAAAGCAAGTGAAAAAAAAGAAAGGACAGAATGAAGAGGGTAGAAAAAACGATTGATATTTTGAAACCGCAAAAGGGATAGAAAAAAAAACAAGAAAGAAAAAAGAATGGAAGAATGAATATATATACATATGTATGTATAATATGTGTGTGTGTGTGTGTGTGTGTGTGTGTGTGTGTGTGTGTGTGTGTGTGTGTGTGTGTGTGTGTGTGTGTGTGGTGTGTGTGTGTGTGTGTGTGTGTTTTACATGTCTGACAGAAAGAACAAGAGAGAATAGAAAAGAGAAAAAAAGAACATTATACAGGAAAGTTTAACGACCTGACTGTCAAAAGTTTCTTTCATACTGAGTGAATTTTATTGACGCGGGAAAATTTGAAAAATTAGTATATTAAAATGCTTTTTCTGATACATCGCCGTTGTTCTTATTCTCTCTTCTACTTCCTCGTCTCCTACGGTAGAGAGAGAAAGATAGATAGGTGAGTTGATGAATAAGTAGATAGACAGATGGATGGATAAATAGATAGATTGGAAAATAGTATAGATAGATATATTTTCCCACTTTGCTGTATATGAAAGTAGGGAAGCGAGTCCGTTCCCATCACCCCCTTTTCGCCTCACCAGCACAGCGCCCTTGACGCGGTCGGAGCTCCCTGCGGCGCCGACGTCGAGCCCGGGAAGGACGGCCGCCAGGATGAGCGCCACGACCAGCGTAGCCCCCAGGATGGCGCCCCACGTCCTCGGCGCGAACGGGTAGGTGAGGCTCCTCCACTTGGGCAGCGGCGGCGGCTTGCGCACCAGGAACCCGAAGCCCTCGGCGTGGTAGGGGTACGTGGCGTCGAAGTCCCTGCATCGCTCGTGGTTCATCAGGAAGTAGTTGATGACGATGTGCTTGCCGTTGTAGACGAGGTCGCCCAGCATGCCGGTCCACGAGCCGTTCTCGAGGGCGCCCCAGTTCTGGTCCTGCGTCTCCAGCTGCACCGAGAACGAGAAGTTGAGCCGCGCGCCCATGATGGCGAGGGCGTCCAGGTTGGAGCCCTTGCAGCCGTCGCCGGCGGGGTCCAGGTAGATGAACGGGTAGTCGTCGCACCACGACGCCAGCTGCAGCTCAGCGCCGCCGAAGTCGTCGAAGCGGTCGGGGAACAGGTCGTCCACGGTGGCGAAGGTCTGGTCGTCCCACAGGCCCAGGGGGAAGCGCCAGCCTCCGGGCCTGAAGGGGTAACTCGTGAAGACTTGGAAGACGCTTCTGCCCGCTCTGGAGATCAGCTCGAACAGCACCAAGAACGGCGACCGCTGCAGCGCCCTGTGCCTGAGGACGGCGCGGCTGTTGACGGAGGCGCCCGTCGAGATGAGGACGAGGTGCGTCGGCCTCCACCTGGGGGACGCGGCCATGCGGTCAAGGAACGCCGTCGGCGAGGCCTTCATCAGGAGAATGACGATGCCGACCTCGTCCCGCAGGTAATGGTTCGGGTACAAAGCCTCCTCGAGCCTGTCTTGGCTCGCTAGCAGGACTGAAGGAGCCTCAAGGTTGACGAGAAAGGCAGGGTCAAAGGTCAGGTCGTCAAAAGAGCCCTCGTCCAGGACAAAAAAGATGTTCCTCCCGGCGAGAGGTCCCGACAGCAAGTCGTCGAGAAGAGCGCGCGTCGTGAAGCTGTCCTCCCCGGCGCCGCTGGGCCCTGGGAGCGGCTTCGCAGACACACACTTCGCGATCACCGACCCAAGAAGGGCAAAAAGAACCCTGTGTTTAGCCGGAAAAGCCATCTTGAAGAAATGCTCGATTTCTTGGATGTCTACTCTGATGGATAATTATTATGTCGTTTTAGACATTTCCTCTCCTTCGTTCCACTGCGTATCCTTCTCCCCTGGCTTCCTTCGTCGCGAACACAATAATATCACGCAAGAAGAGCCTTCCTGAGGACTGCAATACGCGACCAGTGTGAGAAGCAGGACACGCTGCCATCGCTGTTATATGCAAGGAATCTCAGATGTGTACGAACGCTACTAGACTAACCCCCCCCCCCTGCTATGTAGTCCTTGGAGACTGATTCTCTGACGTCAACATATCACTACCAAACTCGTGAAACAGTACATCATACCACACTCACAGGCAATCAAATGCTATTGTATCATGCACAGGGACTAGTAAAATCCAGGCAGTTTCCATCTGTGGTAGATTTTTTTCACGTTCTGACACTCGCAATTCCAAGTCATGTCTCGCGAGATTGCTAAGGTGATACACCATGACATTCTCTCCCGACAAACACGTTATATCGCATGAAAAACAGATGCTGCATATTAACACACCATTATAAACACCACGATCTTCGGGAGTAAAAAGTCATAAGGTATTATATCAAGAGAGAGAATAAAAAATCGTGGAAGTTGATGAAGTAACCTTTTTGATACACAGAAATACGTCGTTTTTACCTCAATTGCAGAATCAACAACAGTAGCATTACTCAACAACATTACTCCTCTCTTCCTGTTTCTCTTTATCTATCTGCCTTTCTCTATATACATAATATATATATATATATATATATATATATATATATATATATATATATGTGTGTGTGTGTGTGTGTGTGTGTGTGTGTGTGTGTGTGTGTGTGTGTGTGTGTGCGTGTGCGTGTGCGTGTGCGTGTGCGTGTGCGTGTGCTGTGTGTGTGTGTGTGTCTGTGTCTGTGTCTTTCTCTCTCTCTCTCTCTCT